GTTACTACACCATGGCTCCACCCTGCCACCCCCTGTGGACCCTGTAAGGCCTTTGAAATCATTTGGTCTGGCCCTGCCAAAGCAGCTACAGGTAGAAGTTGAGATTCAATAAATACACAGCAGGCTAAAAATTTTAAAAAGATTTATTTTACTTGAAAGAGGTAGACAGAGGTTTTTTTTTTTTTTTTTTAAAGCTTTATTCATTTCTATTACAAAGTCAGATATACAGAGAGGAAGATCTTCTGTCTGATGATTCACTCCCCAAGTGACTGCAATGGCTGGTGCTGCACCAATCTGAAGCCAGGAGACAGGAATTTCCTCCAGGTCTCCCATGCGGGTGCAGGGTCCGAAAGCTTTGGGCCATCCTTGACTGCTTTCCCAGGCCACAGGCAGGGAGCTGGATGGGAAGTGGGATTAGAACCAGTGCCCATATGGGATCACAGGATGCAAAGCTAGGACTTTATCTGCTAGGCCACTGCACTGGGCCCAAGACAGAGAAGTCTTATATCTGCAGGTTCACTCCCCAATGGCTGCAATAATTGGATGCTCGGCCAGGCTAAAACAAGCAGCTAAGGAACTTCCTCCAGGTCTCCCACATGGGTGCAGGTGTCCAAGTACTTGGGCCAGCTCCCTCAGCTTTCCCAGGTGCATCAGCAAGGAGCTAAATCAGAAGTGGAGCATTCAGGTGCCCACTTGTGCCCATATGGGTGGAATGTATTGCAGGCGTAGCTTGCTATACCACAGTGCCAGCCCCCTGGTTAATTTTTAAGCTGATACACTTTTTATGGCGCACAGATGATGTTATAAATATTCAAATTGCTATTGGGCAGCAAAAAGGCTCCCCACTCCTGGCAGAGACACGGCAAGATACTTAAGGCATTTAAGTGGTTCCCAAGTTGTGCTGGTAGGAAAATGATACAGTAAGCATTATCTTATTCAATTTCTTTATTTGAAAGGCAGAATGACAGAAGTGGAGACAGTTTCCGTCTGCTGGTTCACTTCCCAGTGGTGCTGTAGGCCAGGCTGAAGCCAGGACCTTTAAGTATCCTGAGGGGATCCTACCTAAGTGCCAGGGGTCCAAGCCCTTGGGCCATCCTCCGCTGCTCTCCTAGGTGCATTAGCTGGGCGCTGGACCAGAAGTGAAGCAACCGGGATTTGAACCAGCACCCATGTGGGATACCAGTGTTGGCACTGCAAGCAGTGCTTTAACGTGGTGCCGTGGTGCCATGGTACCAGCCCCAGCAACCATTCCTAGCCAAGTTCCCTGGGTTCCTGTGTGTTTTATAAGCAGAGCTGCTCGTCCTTGGGTGGATTTTGTTGCAGTGCTCTCCGCTGGCTGCGGTTGGCTTTCCTGTTTCTCTGTCTCTCTGACTTGGTACTGGTGGGCAGCAGACCTGCCTCTTGTGGCCGGGCACTCCTGTCCATCTTTCATTTGTCCTTTTCCCTGTGGTGGTCTGGGCCTCCGTGGGTTCAAGGGCCCTCGGGTTCTGGCTTTAAGGGGAATACTGACTGCGTCATGTTTCAGAAAGTTCATGAAAAATGTATGAATGAGAGAAGTGTCTAGATTATCAACTCTGGATGCCAGGGGCAAGTTTGCTTTCATGCACATTTACACCGGGTTCCAAAGTGCCTGAGCAGAGCAGGGCATGTCACCGTTTTGCATAATTTGGTAGAATGAAGGAACAGGTTTTGAAAGGGTGTGAAGACATGAATAGGGCTACGGTTTGTGATTAACTTTTTGGTGTATTTTTCCTAGAAAATGGTCAATTTAGTGCAATCTTTCACTTCACTGGCCTAGCACTGATCCTCCTCTTCCGCTGTAACCACAGTTGTGTCTCGTGTGTCGCTCAAAGGCCCCGCTCTGCTCTGGGGCCCAGCCCGGTGCCTTTCCCAGCCCTCCCTCTTCCTCTGGTTGTATACTATAACTCTTTTATTTCTTGTAAGATTTGTTTTTATTGGAAAGGCAGAATTTACAGAGACAAGGAGACAAAGATCTTCCATTCGCTGGCTCACTCCCCTTGATGGCCAGCACCCATATGCAATCTCAGCAATTTTAAGTGGAGGTTTAGCTAATTGAGCCATTATGCCAGGCCTCATGACGCTTTTCAAACTCAGCCCTGGCTCCTTTGTTTTCTAATTCCCTCTAATGTAAGTAAAAAGGTTATAAAACTTATGATGCTTTTGTTGTTCCCCATCTCCCAGCTTTCATAGTTTGGTTTTGATGTGCATATTTTCATTACAAGTAGGTTTATCCAGACATTGGAGTTATTTGGCTCTTGTCATAAGGCTGTATTATTCTTTTTTTTTAAGGATTTATTTATTTTTATTGCAAAGTCAGATATATATAGAAGAGGAGAGAAGGAGAGAAAGATCTTCCATCCGATGATTCACTCCCCAAGTCAGCGCAATGGTCGATGCTATGCTGATCCGAAGCCAGGAGCCAGGAACTTCTTCCGGGTATCCCACGCGGGTGCAGGTTCCCAAGGCTTTGGGCCGTCCTCAACTGCTTTCTCAGGCCACAAGCAGGGAGCTGGATGGGAAGTGGAGCTGCCGGGATTAGAACCAGCGCCCATATGGGATCCTGGGGCGTTCAAGGTGAGGACTTTAGCCGCTAGGTCACGCCGCCGGGCCCAGGCTATATTCTTTAAGCACAGACATTTCCTACTTGCTATCTGCTGCGGGAGATGTGTTTTGGTCACTTTTTGTATTGTCCCTTCCACACTAGGGTGAGGGTTCTGTTGGTGTCCACTGATCAGGATTATTAATTGAATCAATATCCTCCAAATCTGTTGTTGGATATTCCTGTTGTTGGATGTTCAGTTTATTACTGAAAGAGGTGTTAAAGCTCTCACTGCAAGGGTCAGCGTCAATGGCATGGCAGGTTAAGCTGTGTCCACAATACCAACCTTCCACATGGTTGCCAGCTGCTGTCCTGGCTGCTCACTTCCAATACTGCTCCCTGCTAAAGCTCCTGGGAAAGCAACAGAACCTAAGTGGGAGGCCTGGAGAAGCCCATGGCTTTGAACCAGGCTAGTCCTGGCAGTTTTGGACATCAGGGGAGTGACCAGTGAATGGGAGGTCTGGTCCCACAACTCTACCTTTCAAATAAGCATTAAAAAACAAACAAACAAAAAAAACAAACAAAAATAAAACAACAAAAAACGCTCCCTGGGCTGGCGCTCCCTGCCTGTGACCTGGGACAGGAGAGGGTGGCCCAGGGCCTTGGATCCCTGCAACCACGTGGGAGGCCACGCTGAATGAAGTTCCTGGGTTTGGATCAGTTCAGCTCTGGTTGCTAGAATTTTTTGGGGAATGAACTAATGGATGGAAGATCTGTCTCTTTCTCTGCAAAAATCTTTCCAATAGCAATATCTTTAAAAACATGCACACAAAAATTTTTAAATCCTCCTACTACAATGAAAGGATTAGCTGTTTCTCCTAGTGTTCCGTGACTTTTTTCTAATACTTTCAGCACTTTGAACATGCGGTTCAGAAGGCATTCCTCCTTTTTGTCAGACGGTGACCCTCTTCACCTCTAAAGGCGCCTTCGCCGTAAGCCCATTTTGTCGTGAAGGAATCTTTCGGTTAGGTTTGCTCTATCCTCTTTCCCTTTGGGTGTTTGTTTCTATTTGAATGACAGAGTTACAGAGGGTGAGACCGCATGTCTGATTTGCTGCTTCACCTCCTGGCTGCACTGAAGCCACGAGCTGCCTTGGGGTCTCCCATGTGGTGCAGGGGCCCAAGGCCCTGGCCCATCCTCTGCTGCTTTCAACGCAGGGAGCTGGACCGGAAGTGAAGCAGCTGGGACGTGAACCAGCACCCACACGGCTGCAGCACTGCAGGCAGAGGCTCAGCCAACTACCGCACAGTCCCAACCCTTGCTTGTGGGTTTTATTTATTTAAAAAATTTTGTGGATTTTAATCCTCTTGTAAACCAAACAGAGGTACATTTTACTTTTTCTTGCCTAACCTGATCATCTGTTTTGATAGGTTTATTTAAAATACATATTTTCCCTCAGGTTTTGTGCTACAAATTTATTATACTTTTTCAGTTTTTAAACTTTATTTATTCAAAGGATATGGCAAAAGAAACCTCCCAGGCACTGGTTCACTCCTCAAATGGCCACCACAGACAGAACTGGGCCAAGCTGAGAGCAGGCGCTGGAAGCTGGCATTGCAAACGGGGCTGGGACTCGAACCAGGCACTCGGAGGAGGCACGCCCGCTAACGCTGCGCAGGAGGACGGCCCCTTTGCTTTCTGTTTCCCTTCCTTTGCTCTTCCTCCCCTTCTCTGGGCTCCGCGCCCCCCACCCTGTGACAAGCTGCCCGGGCAGGGCCTGCTGTCCTCCGGGGCCCGAGCCCTTCTGCTTCCAGTCAGCCTGGTCGCCTCGGCTGGTGTCGGGTTTTCTGGTGGCGCCGGGGGAGGCGTGTCACCGCCGCCCGCCCCGACCCCTGCCCGTCTTTTCCCCTCCCCTGGCCCCCGGTACGTCCCCAACCCCCGGCCCGGGCTTTCTTGGCTGCATGGCGCCCTCGCCTCCTTTCCCGGCGCCCCTCGCCTCCTTTCCCGGCGCCCTCGCCTCCTTTCCCGGGGCCCCTCGCCTCCTTTCCCCGGGCCCCTCGCCTCCTTTCCCCGGGCCCCTTGCTTCCTTTCCGGGCGCCCCTCACCTCCTTCCCGCAGCTCTGCGCGTCAGCGCTGCAGCCGATTCCTCTGACGCCTCAAGGTCACTCTGGCGTCTCGTGCCTGTCCCTCCCCGAGGCCTGACGAGGCGCGCAGGCCGCAGTCCCCCGACCCGCCATCTCGGTCTCCCTCCGGCCGGGCCATGACGTCACTGAACTGTGACGCGCCCGCGCGCGCCCCGACACCAGCCCCTGCGCGTCCCGCCTTGAAGCTCGGCTCGCGGCGCCGTGACGTCACGATCCGGACGGGCGGGTTTTGCGTCGGCCCAATGGGAGAGACGCGCCGGCCTCCCCTTTAAGGAGTGTTGTGGCCTGACGTCACCGGGCGAGTTACCTCCCGCAGCCGCGCTCAGCCGAGCCGCAGCCCGTGAGCGCCAGGCGCGGAGTCCCCGCAGCCCGCACCGCACCGCAGTCACCTCGAGCCGCGCGCCCAGCCCCGGCTGCGCGCCCACCGGGCCGTGCGATGCCCTCAGACAGGCCTTTCAAGCAGCGGCGGAGCTTCGGTGAGGCCTGGCGGGCGACCCGCAGACGGGGGTGGGCGACTCCTGGAAGGGGCGATGGCCCCCCACTGCCGCAGGTGACGTCAGCCCCATGACGTCAGGCTGCGGGGACCGGGAGTGTGGGCCTGTCCGGCCCGGGTAGGGGCTGTCCGCCTCCCCGGCGGGTCCCTTGCCGGAGACCCGGGCCTGATGGCTGGGGGCGGGTGGGGCGGAGCCGGGAGCCGCCCCTTGGAGACCGGCGGGCGGAGCCGCGGGGAGGACCTGGGCCGGCTGGCTCCCTGCCCCGCGCTGGGCTCACTCCCCCGCTGTCTGCAGCCGACCGCTGTAAGGAGGTGCAGCAGATCCGTGAGCAGCACCCCAGCAAGATCCCGGTGAGTCCCGAGTCCCTCACACACCCCTCCCTTGCCGGCCCGGCCCGCCCCCGACTCACTTGTCCCACTCCCAGGTGATCATAGAGCGCTACAAGGGGGAGAAGCAGCTGCCAGTCCTGGACAAAACCAAGTTCTTGGTCCCGGATCATGTCAACATGAGCGAGCTGGTTAAGATCATCCGGTGGGTGTTCAGGCAGCAGCTGCCGGACGGGGACCTGGGTTAGGTCTGGGGAGGAGTGGTAACGAGGTCAGGACGTGGTACTGGCCTTGGGCCTCTGTGCTGGGAGGGCTGGGAAAGGTCGGGTCCCAGCTTGAGCCCCAGGGGGTGGGAGCCCAAGGGGCAGTGCCAGGGCTCAGGAAGGTCTGCCCCTCCTGCCCCCCCAGGCGCCGCCTGCAGCTGAACCCCACGCAGGCCTTCTTCCTGCTGGTGAACCAGCACAGCATGGTGAGCGTGTCCACGCCCATCGCCGACATCTACGAACAGGAGAAGGACGAGGACGGCTTCCTCTACATGGTCTACGCCTCCCAGGAAACCTTCGGCTTCTGAGCCAGCAGTAGGGGGAACTGGCCTGGGAGTGGGGGGCCCCCTGGTCAGGCTCTCCCCAGGGAGCCTCTGACTCCTGAACTAAACTGCCCCTGATGGGCTGGGCAGGAATGTGGCCCCCTCAAGCCAGAAGGGCCTGACTAGCCCACCTTGCCCCTCGGTGGATCTTGGGTCAATCACCTTAGGGCTGCCCTTCCCGGGTGCTGGCTGGGATGGGAGGGTGGAGAGCCACCCCCAGCACCCCTGCTCTGTGTGGTTTTTTTTTTTTTAGGCCCCTGCCTGTCTGCCCATCTGCCCCTCACCTTCCCAAGGCTCTGTTCCCTTGCCTGGACCTGCCCATCCCTGAAGGACTGGCCCCCGTCTCCCCCGTCTCCACTCGGTGTATGGGTCTGTGGTCACTGGCCCTCTGCAGAATAAAGATTGCTCAGGCCTGCCTGGCCCTCTGCCTCCAGCTGCTTCTCGGGAGTGGGGAAGCCGGACTGAGCCCACCAGCACCCAGATGTGTTGATGGGGTTCCAGGTCAACTTCTTTATAACAAAAAATCATTTATTAAGCAGCCACAACCTGACAGCCCTGCTCACCTGCTGCCAACCCTCTGTTCTCCAGGTGGGGGGCTCCTCGGTGTGCAGAGCCACAAAGGGTTCTGAGGCGTCCAGCTCCTCCCCACAGGCCTTGCTCTCAGCACAGGGCTCCTCTGGTGCCACAGACTGGTGATCCTAGACTTGAGCCTTGTCTGTTGGCGACTCCGCATCGAGGGCTGGGCCCAGCTCCAGGCCCCTCCGCCCTATGAGGTCCGTGCAGCCTGTGCCCAGCAGGCCTACTTGAGCACAAGCATGGCCTCCGTGCCATCCTTGGCAGTTAGGTAGAGGCCGTGTGTGAGGTAGTACTCCCGCCGCAGGAAGGCATAGAAGTAGTCAGAGATGAGCATGATCTGGGGGAAGAGAGGAAGTTAAGAGAAGCTGTGGGATCTCTCCCATGAAACCTGGGGGTCTGGGGGACAAGAGCGCCCCACATGGTACCTCCCATCAAGGTCCCAGTCTGTCCTTGGGCCAGCGCCAGTGGGGGCGTATCCAGGGACCCAGTCCCCCTTCAGGGTCCACACATGACCTGGCCCAGCAGCACTGCCCATACTCCTGCTTGCCCCATGGGCTAACCTCACTCCCAAGCTCTAGTCTCTCAAGCCCAGGCCCCTCTTGCTGACCTCTCAGTGCCCCCCATGTCATCCCTGTCCAGTGTACGCTAACTGGGCACCCAGGAGCCTACCTTCCTGCCAGGTCCACAGGCCACACAGTTATCTGATCCTTGTCCCGGTACCAAGCCAGCAGAGCCCGGTACTAGCCCCGCGCTCTCAAACCCACCATATCTGCCCATCTCTACAGCTCCTGCCTAACCTGGTCCTGGGTGCCCTGTGCTCAGAGCTGCCCCGCCGGCTACCAGCCAGGGGAACGCGTCCAGACACAGGTCTGATCCCATTACTTGCCGGCTATGGCTGTTCCCGAGGTTCCTGTGCTTTCACAGTGAAGCTCCAACTCCCTGGGATTCTGGCCTTGTTCCTGGTACTGGCATACACACACACTCCACCCCCCTCTCCACCTCACTCCTTGCAAGATCTGTGCCATTTCCTCTGAAATGATCCTTCTCCTCCAGGTCTCAGGAGAGATCACATACCCCGAGATTAGGTCTCGGCCTGGTTAAGCTCAGTTCGCTGGCACAACTCCTCCGGACCATAATTTTACACTCAGCTGTGTGGCTGCCTAGTGACTGGACTGGGGCAGGCCCCTGAGCAGTTGTCCCATTCTGGGACACAAGATTACGAAGGGCCTAGGAGCTCAGCCCAGCATCCCTGGCAGGGGAGAGGTTGGGGCAGAGCAGAATGGACTTGCTCCTGTCTCCACACCAGACGGCTGTAAGAAGCCTGTCACTGGGAGGTAATAGGGGCTCATGGCTGGGAACGCCACAGTTCCTGGGGAACCTTTCAAAATATGCGCACCAACCTCCTCTCAGCACATCTTGGGAGACTGAGGCCCAGACCAGTAGGCACTGGGGTAATGGCTTGGCCCCAACTGGAAATGGGGCTGAGCCTTGGGATCCAGCCCTCCATGACCCCAGAACTGTGTCCTGAGCAGCTCTTGACTCACCTGACGGGAAAGTGAGCAGCTAAGGAGAGCTGGGAGGGCCAGAGGAAGTCGGGGGGTTGGGGGAGGGGGGAAGGCCTGCATCACCGACCCCACTGATGGCCTTGGGACATGATACCTGCTGTTCTAGCGCAATAATGGCCTGTCAGAAAGGTATGACAATCCTTCCTACAGATGGGGAAACCAAAGCTCAAGGGGCTCAATAGCCTGAGAATGCACTCGAGACGGACCATGGACCCTAAGCCCTGTAAACCACACTCCAGTCACCCAAGGCCATGGCACCTGCCAAGGGGCAGGAGAGCACAACAGACCAAGTCCAGGGAGCCCTGGAGGCTTTGCCCCACACTGCCCAGCTGACAGCTACAGGCTGTCTGGGGACAAGGAACCTGGACTAACAGTTGAGGTCAGGCTGATCCCTGAGCCAGGTCAGATGACAAGCTGAAGTCACAATTCACAACCAAACAAAGGGAGGCCGTCCAGTGTCACACAGCACATGGCCCGATGAGTGGCAGTGGGAAGGCAAAACACAAAGTCAGTAGGAGGTTGAACCATGGGAAACTGCCATGTTTTCTTTACAGATAAAAATGTTAAACATTGGCCATTTATGATCCAGTCTCATAAAACAAGAAAAGAAAAAAAGAACACAAACAGTAGAGTGTATTACTCAGAAGTGCCAGCAGCCCGGTAAGATCTTAAGGAGCTAGTCCTCTTTCTAAGTCTTAACTTTGCAAAGTGTGTACATGTACCACCTGGATACAATAAAAATCAAGCTAAAAGCAAAAAGGTTCCTAAAGGATTGAAATCAACAAACGGGGAGAGAGACCACTTTTCCCACCCATATGGGGCAGCCACCGCCCCCTCCAGAGACAGCCTGACTTGGTGCTCCCTTCCAGGGTGGCCTAAACTCACAGCTTTACATGCGAAGTGAAGGTCGACAGCTTTAGATCACGTGACTACCAGCTGCCCGAGATAAGGTGGGAGGGGAAGAGCACTACACCTAGAATTCCTTCCCAAAATGTGACCCCAATCCCACTGTCAGGCCAGCCTGATCTGGGGGTATTCTACCAGACGCCCAGTCAGGGGAACTCGGGCACTGTCAAAGCCATGAAAATTAAGGAAACAGGACCAGAGAGGGCTTGGGGATATGATATGAAATGTAACATGCTTCCTGAACTCGGTCCCAAGAGAGAAAAAGGACATGTCTGTAGAAACTGAGATCCTAATCAAGTCTGGGGTTAGCAGCACAATTGGTTTCTCAGTTTTGACAGGTGCATCGTGATAAAGATGCTAGACACCACAGGGAATGGGGCATGGAGTTTCTGCAAACCCTACTGTATGCGATTTTTCTCTAAGTCCACACTTATCCCAAATAAAGTTTGTATTAACAAGCAAAGGAGGGACCCGGCGTGATGGCGCAGTGGTTAAGGTCCTCACCTTGCACTCCCGGGATCCCATATGGGCGCCGGTTCTAATCCTGGCGGCCCCGCTTCTCATCCAGCTCCCTGCCTGTGGCCCGGGAAAGCAGTCGAGGACGGCCCAAAGCTTTGGGCCCCTGCACCTGCATGGGAGACCAAGAAGAGGCTCCTGGCTTCGGATCAGCACAGCATCGGTCGTTGTGCTCACTTGGGGAGTGAATCATTGGAGGAAAGATCTTCCTCTCTGTCTCCTCCTCTCTGTATATCCACCTTTCCAATAAAAATAAAATTTTTTAAAAATTAAAAAAAAAAACAAGCAAAAGTGAAGGCATTGGCCTAGCAGGTGCAGCACCAACTGGGATGTTCAGATTATCGGGGTCGAATTCTGGCTCTGCTCTGGATTGCAGTTCCCGCTCCTGAGACCCGGGAGGCAGCAGGTAATGGTTCAGGTAGTTGGGTCTCCGCCACTTAGGTGGGTGAGCTGAACTCACCTCCTGCTTCTCCACGTCGCCTGCCCCACATCCAGCCATTGTGGGCATTTGGGAGAACTGACCACTAAATGAGAGCTTTCTGTCTCTGACTCCAGCTCTCTAAGAAATTGGATAAACTGTTATAAAGCAACAAACCACCGCTAATATGTAACAACAGGGATGAATCTCAAAAACATTTGGCTGAGAGAAAAGGCTACAGCAAATGAAGAGTGTTTTTCTGTATATGAAAAGTTTAGGAAAGAAAAAATATTGAATTCTAGCTAATGACATGCACACTAAAGTATTTAGCAGGAAATATGCTGTTCACTTCAATTTGGAATACATTTTAACAAATGAGCTGATCCAACAAGTACAGTCCGAAGTCAGAGTCCAGGTGTTGTCTGGAGGTTGTGAAATCTCAGCATTACTCTGCACCAATATTTGCCTAGTGAAGGGAGCCGGGGAACAAGCCTCTGAAGGTGCGTGGGCATGCAGCCCTGAGTGGGCACTGGCCCCTGGGAGACCTGGCTCTCTGAGGGAAGCCTGGGGCTGCGGGTAGGCTGGCTGAGACAAACTCTTCAGACCTGGGGCTTTCTGTTTGGGCTGTATGGAGAAGGGATCTCCCAAAGGCTCCAGGACTCAGCCAAAACAGCAGCCGTGAGATCCCGGATCCCTCTGTCCAGGCTGTGCCATGCAAGTGGGCAAGGGGTGGTGGACTTGGCCAAGCTAATGCCCGTGAGGCTCTGGCCAGGGCACTGCCTGTTCCATAAGCTGCATTCCCTCCCTTGTGAAGTTGGAGTGCCAAGCTCCCACCTATTGCTCACGATCGTCAGACTCAGGCACAGAATATGCCAGTGGCTCGAGGTCTTAGTCTCGGGAGCAGCCCCAGCCTAGGGCTGAGTGCCTGGCCCCCATTTCACAGGTCATCAAGTCCCATCAATTTCTCCTCCTTTTGCAAACTCTCCCTGACTCCATTTCTCTCCCTCCCACAGTCTCCCCTTGCTGGGAGGCCCCCCTGACCTTCCCTGGCTCCTGAGGGATCTTCAACACCCACCCACACATGTACCCCGCAGCCCCAGCTCCAGCTTGTCCTCCCAGAGGCATTGCATGCTCCTCAAGATCTCCTCTCACCATGCTCAGGTATGTGATCTCGAGATGAAATCACTTCCCACTGGCCTTACCACCGACTGGCTGGCATGTGACCTGCCCAGAACTATCCTCTCAACATTGCCCTACAGGAATGGCTTGGTGGGATTCCGGCCCTCACTTGCGGCATGCTCCCCTCTGGGACATGGGAAGATGATAAAAGGGCAGTGGGGACGGAGATGGCCAGGGCAGAAGTGGAACCAAACTGCCAGAAGGCACCCTGCTGCAGGATGGGGGACAGGGCCCACAGGACAGAGACACTTCCCACGCACCTGTCAGTGCCGTTTGGCAAACACCCTGCCAACACTCACGACGCCCTTGGATGAGGTTGGGGATCCCCACACAGACACCTGGAAACTCCAAGGAGGTTCTGCCCTGAGCCTGACCCTCAGTCCTGCCTGAAGCCTAATCCCTACTTCTCAGCGTTGCCCACAGTGCCTCAGGGTCTACACCCTCAGACTAGGCATGACACTTCACAAACCACCATCCTGTCCACGCTGCTATTCTCCCATCTTACAACTGCCATCAGCTTTGCTTTCTAAAGAGAATGAGCATGGGGACCTTCCAAGACAGTGATGGTTGTTAACTCAACTTGAAGCTGTGTAAAATCACAGAACAGCTGCCTTGGGCCTCTGGAAAAGCAGGTGCCAGCACCCAGGGTCGTCCTGCTCACACTGGGCAACAGGAAACTGAGGGGAGAGGAGCTGTGACCAGCTGTGGGACTGGATGGGCTCTGGCACAAGCTGCCAAAGCACAGTTGGAATG